AGTACTGAGTCTCAGGTCTGAGACAGAGTTGACTGGTAAAATAAGTACGAACCCCAAGATTGAGACACAGCTGGCAGTGGTTATGCAAGTACAGACCCTTCAGGACTTAAGGAAGAGAATTAATGGATGTCAACTTCTATGTTATTTTAACGTTTCGGAGTATATGCTTACTCCTTCATTCACCTGATGAAGGAGTAAGTATATACCACGAAATGTTGTGTTCCTCACAATAAAGAAGTTGACATCCATAAATTCTCTTCCTTATGTGTATCACTTCTAAATGCCTTTCAAAGACCATCAGGACTTGATTGCCAGTGAATGTTCCAGCTTAAACCAGGCTGCTAGTTTGCTCAAGTGATATAGTTAACACTCACCACCCAGGAGAAATGTCAACATTTAACCCCCCTCTGCCCGACTGAAACTGGTCACTATTGACCAAACCTTACCAGGCCGGCCTCTTGAACAGCCGGAGAAGCTACTGCAGTGGTAGTAGAATGACTTTCAGGGACTCCAGACTGGTAAGAGCCCAATGGAGTCATATCCATTAATCACTAGCACATAGGTGTGGAGGAACACAATCCTTAATTGCTGTTGCTTCCGTTTTGTCTCCCAGATCAAGCAGACCAGTTTGTATAGAACCCTGAAAATTCATTCACATTTACACAATGGTAAGTTCACTCACTTGCTTGTTCTATAAGGAGGGCCCTCAGGGAAGTTGTTGAAGAATTGGTTCCCTTACCCCTCCAGGCACCCCTCCCCATGGGGATTGGGGGACAATATGAATTGAACATGGATGGATTCCTGCAGCTGTGACCTGAGCCTTGTTCAACTCAGCCATGTTATCATGGCAGCTGGCATGTGTTTATGCCAAGGAATGGGAGATATGGCACTCTTAGTGTTAGACTGTCATGAGTCTTGTTAAAGAATGGGCGTTACGGCACTCTTAGCGCTAAGACTGTCATAAGTCTACATTACTACCATGTCTGTTGTAACGCCTCTGTAGTCTAGTGGCACGAAATCATGGCCACACATCCTTTGAATATTGTAGTAACCGTAACTTTGCATTTTGTCACCTACAATTGTAGATATAATTATTTAAATATGCCTAGAGACTTTGTCTGAAAAAAGTACTATTCTATGAATAATAATTCCACAGTGATGTGGTCGTCAAATTGGCTGTTTCAATCAGAGGGGTTTATTGTGATTTGACAACCTCTAATTGACCAATCAGAATCAAGTAATTTCCAATTTATAGAATTTATATGTGCCCTTAGGCTTGCCTAATTCTTACATTATTCCAAATGACCAAAAGAAAGGTGCCAAATTGCAAGAAGCATGGAGGTATATGTGAAACAGTCATAGGGATGTAATTGTAACCATAAATTACAATCATACAAAGAAAAATATTGCTTTTTGTGCTTGACAATTCATCCTGATAGGAGGCTTCATGTTGCTGTCAGTGTACTTGAATAATGGATGACATCATATTGTCTTGAAAGCATTCATCATTTGGAAAATATCAAATGTTTTTTTCATTTTAAATTGTTACTCCAAAACAATTGTTTAAAAATGTAACATTTTTATTAACTGTAGAAAAAAATTTGTCTTTCAAAAGTAGCAAGTTGATAAATATTGATGGGCAAAAGTGTTTCTTTTGGGGGAATACAAAGAGAAGGTGTTTTACCGTCGACATTATCTTTCAGCAGCCCATACATCAAACAGGATGAAATGGAACAATGTGTATTGTCTTAGGTGTCTATACCGAGACACAAGATAAGTTTTATGGGAAACATTGGAAAGTGGAAATTACACTCGAGAAATAAAAGGAAGCATTATTTCATAAATATGCAAATATGGAGGCATGAATAAAAACTGTTCCGTCTTATTCAGACATTTCGCTTCAGACTTGACAGAGTAATTTGATGTAGAAATGATCTTACGTTGCTTCACAGGAACCTCTGGTGATTTCAAATCATGTTAAGAGTTTGGAAACTGTGCATCTTTCAGGTTGGTTCTGGTCTTATTAGAAATATACATGCAGTGATATTGTGTTGGCAGTGTTTACGAGCGAGAGTACGACACCCTCTCTCGCACTACGGAGAAATTATTACACTTAGTTTATCATAACGAGTATCAGATATACCAGAGGTTCTTTTTTACTGCTTTGTGTAATCAATATAGTGTTGTTTGGGAGCAATCATTGATTTTGGTCCTTTGAAGATAACAAAGGTTTGCTGTATGCAAATTTGAAGAAAATTGGTTAAGATGCCGTGCCAATCCATTAGGTGCATTGCTTTGCATGTTATGAAAACTCTGTTGTGATATTCAGTACATTTGAGCGAACATATGGGATGGATTTTGAATAAAATACTGCTTTAGAAAGTAAAGGAATGTTGTGGCAGGATTTGATAATTGCCTACTGGAGATATTTTGGGTGATTGATTGAGATGAGAGATCGATAGGCCATTCTCCGAGCATAATGGACAAAGAGGTCAAGCATAAGGTAGTGTAGCCGAGGTAATCACGGACGAGTTTGGAAACAGATGAATAGACAAGATGGAAAGAGGAAAATTAATGGGGGAAGGGGGAGGTTGGTAAAATAATGGAATAATAGAGAGAAAAACAACTTTTTGTGAAAAAAAGCATGGGAGAAAAAACTATTGTGACTCATTCACTATTCATTACTAATGTATAAAAATGAAACCATGTCTTGTGTCCTGGATGAAAAGTATCGACAAATAGGTCTTTTTTATGAGTAATTTGACTTGGGAAAACTTGGGGATGATATGTACTTAATCACTTTAAAAACACTGAATGGGTTTTGATGCTGGAGTAACAAGTGGCTGGAAACTTAAAAAATTATGTCCACGTGTGACAACGTGAATGAGGATTGAAATGTTGCATGCCTTCAGACCTCGCTACCACATACTAAGTTCTTTGTGTTCTGTGTTCTGTTCTGAAAATTATTTCCCAAATTCCACTACTGTATTCGACGTAATAAGCGCCCTGCTCTAATAAGCGCCCACGGCGATATTTGCTTATATGTTGGCAAGTGAACAATCTCATTTAGCACCCCTTCCGATTGATCAATGTACATAAGACTTATTTATTCGCGTATAATATGCACTCGTGTGCTACATGCACCCTTAATTACGGGCAATTACATTCTGGAAAAATATATCTGTTGTATATAAACATTTCAGGCTGTCAGCATAAACCACAAAATTTATCTTTCAACTCTGTTTTTTCACCAAAATAATATTCTAATAAGAGCTCCCTATAAGTAATTTTGAGTGCGCCCTGCGCGCGTATTACATTGAATACAGTATGTGTTTTCATATGTGTCAGTATATATTTTAATCAAACATGTCCATTTTATAGATCATGTTCACAAAACTAATGTACATCTTCAAATGCATATTTTCCTTTAGTTGTTGGAATATATTATTTCCTGTAACTGGCAAAATATGTTTTGAATGAGAATATTTGTTGCTTGTCTTCATCGTACTACTTGACCCTACATGGAATGGTCAAACCCTGTACTGATGTACTGAGCACCAATTTCCCTTAAGCATTGGATCAGTTAGTGAGATCAGTATGAGAGGACTGCAGCGGAGAGAGGGAAATTTTAACCAGGCCCTGAAACCTTCCAGCTCTGGAGATGTAGCGTAGAAAGGGAGTGTCTTTGTAGCCATACAATGGAGCCCAGATAGATAGGCAGGGACAGGAACACCAATTTCCTGCTGTGGCTTGTGCAGTAATCCTCGGGCTAGGCATGGAAGGACCAGAATGTCATCCAAGATTGCCGAAATATGACCGAGATTATATCCACCCACTCACAGCCATTCACTTTTGTTGAAACTGTTTATAGTACAGTGTGTTCAAAATGCAAGGTCATTCATTTTGGATGTCAAGTAATATGTACAAAATATTTCCAAGATCATATCCACCGACTCACAGTCAAGAACTTTATTGAAATAGTTTTTGGTACAGAATGTTCTGATGGAAAGGAACAGTTGTTTGAGTTGAATATTTTTGTCTTTTTTAATTGCATGGGAGCATATTTCACAGATGGGATACACATTTACCTTGCTCTGTGTGAAGACACAGGTGTTGTTAAAAGGCGCAGTTCAGGGATGTTTGTGTGTTTATCACTGAGGTTGGTACAAAGAGATTTGGGAAGCAGTCTGTGAATGGGAAACTCCAGTGCAGGGCAAACTCTTGATAGAGGTAACTTGGTTGATACATGTTATCCTATCCCGATTCCACGGATTGAAGTGACACGGGTGGCCCAGTCATCTAAGGCCCTGCGATTGGCTGTGCACAGTTGTGTCCCTTGGGCACGCCAGAAACCTATGATTGTGGGTTCGAATTCCTGTTCGCCTAGATTATGTTTCTAGGTTTGTCAGCACCATGCCCGTGCTCGTGGGTTTCACCGAAGTGGTAAACGTCTGAGACCTGCATCACTTCGGGCTTTCCTCAAAACAATAAGCTGACATGCCGTGATATAACTGGAATACTGTTAAAAGTGGCATTAAACCCAACTCACTCTCTCACTCCATGGATTGATGCTCATGATGTCAGTCACTGGATTGTCTGGTTCATACTCTATTATATACTGACTGGAATATTGCTGAGTGATGTGTAAACAGCAAACAAACAAACAAAAGACTATGTGTCGTTTGGGAAAGTCCATGTGCACATTTGTATGTGGGAAAGTTATGATCGGCCAATGAAATATTTCTTTTGTCAAAAATATACAAAACACATATGTTTTCACCATCACTTTTCCGATCCTGCTCATTGATTGTATGTGTTCAATCTCGGCGTCAAATATATGCCTGGAATTATAGAACAGAGATCGAGAATATTCTTGTGGACGTATCCTTTTATATATCTTACCCTTTAAGAGACACTTGTGTATTTATAGACTACAGAAGCTTGAGAAGTATGATATATTGTTTTAACTGTTGCTTTATTTTCAAATCTTGTGTTTCCAGAGATGGGCGCCTACGGGAGGGAGACCAAATTCTTGCCATCGATGGTCAGCCTCTAGACATCTCCCATACTGAGGCTATACGCATTCTTCAAAACGCCCAGGGATTGGTGGAGATTGTTGTTGCCAGGGGACCAATCAGTGGCGAGTCTGAGCAAGTTATTGGTGAAGTGGAGGTTAACGTTGACGGAGAAGAACCAATTGAAAAGGCGGAAGATCGCCAGGAAGAAGCATTCCCTCCCACTGGCCTTGACAAGTCTTCCGACATGGTGGTCAGTGATATCATCTATGTAATTAATTGTGCCCTGTGGCAATTCTGAGACAGAAATGCTCCCAGCATGCCATACCTATTTTTAAATGTGACAATGGGGACTTGGTCAGCAAGAATAGCACTTAGCAGTGCCAACTGTCTATGAGGACAAACTGTCAGCTGGGATCTGTTGGTTTGGTGTGTCATCGTACAGAGCAACATGCTCACACTATCAACCTCTGGTTAGCTTGCTGTAGGCCTGATCACCCTCCAATGTCCGCTGTAATATGGCTGTGATATTGCTGACAAAATATATCTATGATTCTGGTCTCAGGACAAAGTATGAAATATGATTTTGCCATGATAATGTTTGTTTGAATTCATCAGGTTTAGTGTTCAAAGTTATGCACTATTTGTCTCTTTATCAAATGTTCTGTCCTTATACACTGGAACCTCATTCATCCAGACAGCTGGATTGTCGTGAAATTGTAGTCATACTGCTCCACATGTTAGAGTAGATGTTTTATTTTCAGCATCACAAAGTCCTGATTAACCAGATTTCGTTGCATTTGCTGACTCTTCTTTCCTTTGATGTTTGAATGCGGACTGTCTATAAGGCACCGTAATTCACTATACAGTACCATTAGCAGCCCTGATCTACATGTCATAAGTTCAAATCCCAGCACAGTTGGCCCAGTCATCAAAGGTGTCTTAATTCGGTCTGCTGTGAGTGTTTTCCTTCAGGTGTGCCAGAAACCTATGATCCTGGGTTCTAATCCTGGTTCACCATGATCATGTTTCTGGGTTTGTCAGCACCATACCTGTACTCGTAGGTTTCACTGAAGATTTGAATCACTTCAGGCTTTCATCCAACATAAAGCTGACGTGCCGTCATATAACTAACATACTGCTGAAAAAGTGGTCCTAAACCCAACTCACTCACTCACAAGACAAGGAATTGCATGACCTGCATGTTCTGAGTTCTAGTCCCACCATTGCCCTCATTATGATGCTTGGTCTGTCCAGCACCAAACCTGAGCTCATGGATTTCTTCAAAGTCGCTGTGCAGAGTTTCATACCTTAAGGCAGGCCAGAACCAACAAGTCCCAGTTTGTCCTGATTATGTTTTTAGGTTTGTCATCACCATAACTGAAGTCATGGATTTCATCAAAATTGAAAATGTCGACAACCTGCATCCCTTCAGGCTTGCCTCTCACATTTGACTCACATTTCATGATAGAAGTGGATCACTTTTGAGTTACATCACACACAATCCCTTATTTGACATTTTTGCTTGAAGTAAACATTCCGATTATTTGTCATACATCTGAAAGAATATCCAAATCAAACAGGAAATGACACTTAATGAGCTCTTTCAGAATTCAAAGTTTACAAGGTATGAGTTTTTGTGTTGATAAAAGATGACTTGAAGGTTTGTGTTATTTGAAACCCCAGGTCATACGGAGTGTTACTTTTGCCAACATGTGAATCCATTTATTCCCCATTCAGTCATTCCAAGCCATTAACCTGGCCACATGGCAAGAGAAGTGGTCCTTAGAGGTGACAAGGACAATCTGCCACATTCTCTTCACTTGCCATCAGAACGCAAGTAGGAAAATGACGCTGGAGTTTAACTGCGCCCAGAATTGCTCAGTGATACAAAGAAAAAATATCTTGATGCATATGCTTGCTGTCAGATGTCTCAGTGACGGTGACGGTGGTAGATGGTGTGGGAATGGCAGTGATGGTGAGAGTGGTGCTGATAGTGGTGTGAGTGGTGGTGAGAGTGGCACTGATGGTGGTGTGAGTGGTGGTGAGAGTGGCGCTGATGATGGTGAGAGTGGCCCTGATGGTGGTGAGAGTGGCCCTGATGGTGGTGAGAGTGGCCCTGATGGTGGTGAGAGTGGCCCTGATGGTGGTGAGAGTGGCGCTGATGATGGTGAGAGTGGCGCTGATGATGGTGAGAGTGGTGCTGATGGTGGTGAGAGTGGTGCTGATAGTGGTGTGAGTGGTGCTGATGGTGGTGTGAGTGGTGGTGAGAGTGGCGCTGATGGTGGTGAGAGTGGCGCTGATGGTGGTGAGAGTGGCGCTGATGGTGGTGAGAGTGGCGCTGATGATGGTGAGAGTGGTGCTGATGGTGGTGATAGTGGCGATGATGGTGGTGTGAATGGTGGTGAGAGTGGCCCTGATGGTGGTGAGAGTGGCGCTGATGGTGGTGAGAGTGGTGCTGATGGTGGTGTGAGTGGTGCTGATGGTGGTGTGAGTGGTGGTGAGAGTGGCGCTGATGGTGGTGAGAGTGGCGCTGATGGTGGTGAGAGTGGCGCTGATGATGGTGAGAGTGGTGCTGATGGTGATGAAAGTGGCGCTGATGGTGTGTGAGTGGTGGTGAGAGTGGTGGTGAGAGTAGTGCTGATGGAGGTGAAAGTGGTGCTGATGGTGTGAGAGTGGTGCTGATGATGGTGTGAGTGGTGGTGAGAGTGGTGCTGATGATGGTGAGAGTGGCGCTGATGGTGTGAGAGTGGCGCTGATGGTGGTGAGAGTGGCGCTGATGGAGGTGAGAGTGGTGCTGATGGTGGTGACAGTGGTGCTGATGGTGGTGAGAGTGGCGCTGATGGAGGTGAGAGTGGTGCTGATGGTGTGAGAGCGGTGCTGATGGTGTGAGAGCGGCGCTGATGGTGTGAGAGTGGTGCTGATGGTGGTGAGAGTGGTGCTGATGGTGTGAGAGCGGCGCTGATGGTGTGACAGTGGCGCTGATTGTGTGGGAGTGGCGCTGATGGTGGTGACAGTGGTGCTGATGGTGGTGACAGTGGCGCTGATGGTGGTGACAGTGGTGCTGATGGTGGTGAGAGTGGTGCTGATGATGGTGAGAGTGGTGCTGATGGTGTGACAGTGGCGCTGATGGTGGTGAAAGTGGCGCTGATGGTGTGAAAGCGGCGCTGATGGTGGTGAGAGTGGTGGTGAGAGTGGCGCTGATGGTGGTGAGAATGGCACTGATGGTGGTAAGAGAGGCGCTGATGGTGGTGAGAGTGGCATTGATGGTGTGAGAGTGGCACTGATGGTGGTGAGAGTGGCACTGATGGTGGTGAGAGTGGCACTGATGGTGTAAGAGTGGCGTTGATGGTGGTGACAGCGGCACAGATGGTGTGAGAGCGGCGCTGATGGTGGTGACAGCAGCACTGTTGGTGGTGAGAGTGGCACCAATGGTGGTGAGAGTGGCACCGATGGTGTGAGAGTGGCAAAGATGGGGGTGAGAATGGCGCTGATGGTGGTGAGAATGGCGCTGATGTTGTGAGAGTGGCGCTGATGGTGGTAAAAGCGGCACTGATGGTGGTGACAGTGGCACTGATGGTTTAAGAGATCAGCCCTGCTACTATTTCTGCTCCTGATACTGGGGATGGAGGTTGCTGTGTACTGGTATTATTTTGTTGCAGAAGCTGTCTGTGATTGATTACAATGGCAACAATAATAGACAGTACAAAACTGCATCAGCAAGTTCTTCTCTGAGAACAGTTACAGGTCACAGCGACCTATAGTTATGTTTGATGAAGTTATCATGACCTCAATGGTTTGTTCAGATTTTTATACTTTCTTTTGTGAATGCTTGATGGTCTTAATATTGTTAACTTTGGCATTCGTTAGTTTCATGAAATAGAAATATGGGCAAAAGTTGACTCCATGGTAAACGTGGGTGGAGATTGTTCTGCTGAGTGTTTTGTAATCAATTTGAATATGATATGTGGAGAAAATCACAGCGCAAAGCTCTTCCAAAATCATTTCATATCTGTGGAAAATGTTTTCTGTGAAAATGGTCTTTTCCAAAACCCTTTCATAACAGTTGATGAAGATCCCTATCTCATATAGTCGGGCATATCTTCACAGAATCTGAAATAATTCAATGTGAAATAAAAACTTCTAATCAATTGAAATAAAATCTATTAGAATTTTCACCGTAAATAAATGAAAAAAATATATGGCACTAACATTTCTTGAGTTCAATCAGCTTCTTATCTTCAGTTCCACTAGCCATGAGAAAATCAAAGATTCTTTCATAAGCTCAAGGTCTAGTTTCGCGATCCATTACAGGCAGATTGGTTAGAAAAAACTATTGTACAGGAACGCCCCACTGACACTGTTGTGTGTAGAAATGGTCTGAAGACATTTCAACTGCTCATCTTCGGAACCAATTAGGAAAAAGCAGCTTTTTCACAGCACTCAACAGTCGTAATTAGGGCAGTGAATTGTCGGTGGCCAAAAGTAATGGACATTGTGTAGTAACATGTTGCTTCAAACTCCATACTTCTGTTTTCGAACTGGTAATTATTTTGCCTTGGACTTATTGATTTGGCGATGGATTATCTGAAAGGTTGGGTATCACTGAAAAAAGGGTTTGGTGGTGAACGTGAGTCGAAATGCCAACAGGAAAAACAGAGGATTCTCACCAATTGGATCAGCAATGATGAAGTGTGTGTTCGGGGTGTCTACCTTTTGCAGTAAAGAATACATCATCAGTTCCGATTAGTTCTTAATCAGCTGAAAGAATAATCTTAATTAAGATTCTGACCTCTTTGTTTCAAAAAGGACAAGGTGAAACTATTGGTGTATGAATAACCATTATCGTTTCTTTTCTATGTTCATATGTTCAGTGCAACAAATTATTTCAAAAAGATTTTGACAGTTTTAGAGCCTCTTGTGTAAGTGAGGGAAGCCTAATTTTGAAGGCCATAACTAATATCTGTACTTGCGTCAATTGGCCTTATCATTGGATGACATTGATTTAGCTAGAGCTGATTCATAAAAGAATAATATTTTCAAAAATTCAAAGTGTATTAACAAATAAATACATTTTGAAACAGATTTTTGTCAATATTCAAACAGATTTATGGCTCTATATGATGTGCCCTGCAGAGACTTGCTTCTATTTTGGATACATTGAAATACAAAAAGCTGAAGTATTCAATTTTGTTAAGTGAAATTTGTGTGAGTATTTATTGAAATTTAAGAAGAAAATCAATATTAGAATGT